GCTTGGAGATGCCTGGTCTTGGACGCAGATCTTTTGGAGCAGTGGCCGGAAATCATCATCAGCCCCTTCGGTGTCGTCGACAAAGGCGGTGAAGACTCTAAGGTGTCCGGTCGAACAATCCATGACCTGTCTTATCCGGAAGGCGCGTCCATCAACGACTTCACAGACCAGGAAAGCATCAACAAGCCCGACTACACCCACTGCGATGCAGTGTCTCGCGAGATTCTGAGGGCCAAGCAGCAATTTCCAAGCGCAAAAATAGCTGTGATGACCGGTGACGTCGCGACGGCTTTCCGAAACATCAGCATTCACAGCAACAGTGTCTACTTGTTCGCTGGTAGGATTGAGGAAGAGGGCGCGATAGTTATCGAACTTTCCGCTCCTTTCGGCTGGACGGGGTCGCCGGGTTTTTACGAGATTTTTGGCGGGGCAATCACCCACGTTCACGGCTCCCACACGAACGCGCTCTCCCCAAAAGGTTTCTTTGCCTACCAGATTACATTAACGTGTCTCCGGACGTTGGACCCTCATGCAGCGAGATGGACCGTTCGCTCAGGTACGCCATGGTGTCCGTCCTCGGTGCTGACGCCATCAACACCGAGAAATTTACCAATTGGAGCACGCGCCAGCGTGTCCTTGGTCTCGAATTTGATTCCGAAGCTGGGCAAGTCGCGTTACCGGAGCCAAATATTCAAAAAGCTCGCCGGATCGTCGGGTGCGCCTACAATGCCAAGTCGCTTTCTCGCAAGGAGTATCGATCTCTGCTGGGTAGCCTGCGCCATGTGGCAACCTGCGTCCGCGCCGCTAGGCCATTTTTGCAACGCCTTCGCGAGCGACAAAACCACCTGCCTTGGTTTCAGCACGCCCCAGTTTCCGACGATATGAAAGCCGATCTACTGTGGTGGTGGCTGATATTACACGCCCCCCCAGTTGAATGGTGTATCTCTGGAATTTTTCAACACGCTGCCACCCCCCGACATAGTGATTGAAATGGATGCCTCGGATTATGGTCTCTGCGCTCTTGATCCTGCCGCCAAAGAAGCACTCACGCACGCGTTTACTGTACCAGAACGCCAATTGATCTTGGAGTTCAATCGAGGTGTGCGCAACGGCTTCGATATCAACTACCGCGAGCTCCTTTCGTGCGCATTTGCGGTCCACGCCTGGGGAACCCGATGGTCCCAACAATCCCTGAGCCACTCCAGGCCTCTTCATGTGCACTTCCGCATCGACAACGCTTCTGCGGTGGCATGGCAGAACAAGCTGGCATCGCGGAACCCCCGAGCCCAGGTTATTATCCGTCTTCTAAGTTGGTGGGAGACATCGTTCCGACTCCGTTTTTCCGCGTCACACATCGCCGGTATCAACAATGTTCGCGCTGACGCTGGCTCCCGCTCCCCCGCAGACCCATCGTTTGCAGCGCTGTTCGCGTCACTAAACGCTGGCTGGTTACAGGTATCTCCGCAGGTGGACGTCCAGGGCCTAACCAATATTTGGCAGCGTATCTCCGAGCACACTCCGTTCCCGACTCCACCTTCGATCAATACTGGCGTGCACTATCCAAGTGGCAAACCTGGACTTCGCGGCGAGGTGTTTCTCCTTGGCTGAGTGGTACGACCCTCGGCGACCAAGTGCAGTACATCTCGAACTTTGTGTTGCACGGTTTTCAGTTCGGTTCTGGCTCCGGTGGTCCCATTCGCAGTGATTCTATCATGACGGTTCTTCAAGGCGTTCCGCATTTCTTCGCGGCGATGGGCTACGAGTTTCTGATCTCACCCCCGCACACCCGTATGCTGCTCAAAGGCATCGGGCGCCTCGACCGTTCGCGTCTCCAGAAGGCACCAGCCTCTCTCGACCTCATAGAGGCCTGCTTTCGGGGCATGACCATGTCTGATCCCTTTGAGCAAGCTCTTCGGGGGGTCCTATGCTTAGCGTTTTTCTTCTTGCTGAGGCGCTCCGAGAATGTTGCAATCAGCGGAGGATCTTTCAAGTGGTTTGCCCTACGAGCTCAGGACATCGTGACGGTAGATGCCAACGGCATTGAGACCCCTTTTCCGTCTGAGGCTCATTCAGTGTGGATTCGCTTGGTGGGATCGAAGACAAACCAAGGCGGAGCCCCAATTACGAGAATGCTCTCGTGATCTGGGCATCCGTTCTTGTGTCCCGTGTTCGGAGCTCTCATCCTACTACAAGCGAGAAAAGACCTCCCCGCCGACATTCCTGCCGCGGTCTTCATGTCACGCCGTGGTAAACCGATGGCCATCTCGACTGAGGACGTCTCCAATATTATCAAGGCAGCTGCTAGCCGCATAGGCAAAGACCCGCGTCGCTTCAGCTCGCACTCCTTGCGCTCCGGTGGTGCGACGCACCTGTACCGCACAGGTACAGATGCCCTGACGATTCAGTTCCACGGACGGTGGGTGTCCGATGCGTACAAGACGTACACAAGACTCTGCATGGAATCGGTGGCAACGCTGTCTGCGTCCATGGTTACGGGGACCAAGGGTGATTTAACGTTACATTGATGAGGCTTATTGCATGATCATCTATTGGGGGCACCGCTCTCCTCGTCCCTTTGCGGATCGAGCTGATGGTCACTGCATAAGCTCTCATTAATGGAATTGTTTGTTTGACCCCAAGGTTAGTGGAAAGGTGTATTCCATAGTGGAGCAGAGTGGAACAAGGGAATTATGTTTTCCACACAAGATAGATACCGGTATACCAGTGGAAACTGGTCTTCCGGCTTCGCTGGCTTGCTGTGGACCACAAGTGTCGTACCCTCTCACTTCGCAACCAGAAGAACAAGCAGCAAGCAGCTCAAGAATTACCCGTCTCTCCTCGTTCCTTTGCGGATCGAGCTGATGGTCACTGCATAAGCTCTCATTAATGAAATTGTTTGTTTGACCCCAAGGTTAGTGGAAAACCATCTAATCCACTAGACCGTACTTTCGCTGTCGTGGTAATTGCCCAGTAGAAATCATTTGCGGTCATTGGTGAGTCTAACACTGTTTATCCACATCAGTTAACTTCGCTGTCGTGTGTTTAAGATTTTCCAAAAGGCTAATTGGCGAAAACCAACGTTTTGAAATATTCTGCTTAAGATCTTCAGATGGACTCTGAAAAATTTCACCTCAGTACTTTCTGTGAGCCGCTGCCACCATTTCCGTTTGTGCAGTGGTTGTACCATCGGGTAATGTAACGGTAGGTATTGTAGCGTTCATATCTTCGTGGAAGGGGCTACGGATGAAATGTTTATTCTCGGTCTCTCCACATTTCACGCCAGAATCGAATTTTGCTTTCTTTTTTTTTTTTTTTTTTTTTTTTTTTTTTTTTTTTGAGATTTGAGCCTCAATTGAACTACCAGATCTGCTTTCGCAGAAGTAACTCGAAGTCGATTCGCATCTGATGGAGTTGTGGCGTAGGAGGTCACTTCTGGCCACGTCAAGAAATGGAAATGTAATTCTGACTTGTGCGACTGGCAAGTTTGTTTGTACAAGAAACGACCTACTACGCACAGCGATACCAAATTGTCATTCATCCCCTCCAGATGCGTGATATGTTCACTCCTTCACACTTCTTCATTCTCACAGCAGTGATTCTATACGCCACAGTTCATCAGCCCAGATTGTCCAGTTACCTGGATTTAGAAGTGCAATTATCCAAGAGTTGAGCTCTGCTAGACCTCGGGTGGCGACTGCGAATATAACGTGAATGTAGATCATAGACCAATTTGTCTCTATCAAGCTAATAACAGAGCGAAGGCGATGCTAGCATCATCAGAATGTGACAGCTACAACAAACTACAAGCATTTTTGAGGGCATTTGGCCGTTTGAATCCCGGCTCTCGCGTTTGCTACCAACTGGACAGCCAGGCCGTTACTATAGGGCTTATTTTTTTTTTTTGCTGCTGGTTCTGTGACGGCAACCAAGATCCTATCTTGGAATGTGACGGAACATCGATGAAGCATCCGGTGTATAACGGAGTTTGCGTTTTACTGTTTGAAAAAGATGGTGATTGGTACAATATCCCCCCTGCAATTGGGTTTATACACAAAGAGACCGCGGAGAACTTCGCGTGGTTTATCGCGAACTGTGTGGCATCTGGGCTGAAGCTTGACGACAAAGCTCTCTTTACCGATTGCGGGAGGCAGCACGAGGCTCAAAAGCTCTTGGAAGGTCGAGGTGTGGTCGTTAACCTAACGTCTTGTGGCTTACACATCGTGTTTAATGTCTGCGATCACTTTCGGTCAAGATCGCTGCTGTGAGACCCTACATATTTCGCTTGCAAGCCACTACAACACTAAACGCGTATGAGGAGGTTCTTCAGAAAATTGAACAATTGCTTCCTGCCAAACGTGTACTTCGATCTGGTAGCAATGGCCAACCTCTTCAGCAAAGCGTGGCAAAGTATCTGAGAATGATTCATCCAATCAGGATGACGAAGTGTGATAATTGCGAGCTAACCCTTGAGGAATCAGCTATAATTACCAACAATTGGATCGCAGGCGTATGGTCGCCCCTGTCAGATCTTCGCAGCTCCAACGGCTAGTGCGGTATAAGGATAGAATAATGGACTACTTCTTGCAGGCGTTCGCGGTGAGCAAGTGCTTGGTGTTTTGGTGCGTTTCTGCTCGGTCCTAGTTGAAACTCTGGCGGACTAAGGCAAAAATTCAAGGTTTGGAAGAAAGATAATCACACCGTTACGTCGAGAGCAAAACCCATGTTCGATCGTCAGGTCGATGCAGCGGCCTCTTCAACTGTTGTCAAAAGTACAGACTCCATCTACCACGTCGTAGATTCGATTTGAAGTTTGAAGAGGAAGAGGGTGAAATGGACATTGCCGATGGAAAAAGGGATAAAACCTCACAGGTGAAGCGGACGTTCACAACGGATTTTGAAACTGGAACTTGTACGCGATGTGCTGATCGCCAACAATTGGAAATGCCATGCCGACATATGGTTGCTGCGCTTTACTCACGAAGTGAAAGCCGCATAGCAAATACCGGTGTTTTCAAATATTCCATCCCTGCTACCTGGCTTCGGCATACATTCACGCATTTGAACATGCAACAATCCAGCTTCCTTCTATACCGGCACTAATACCAGATCCCTACATTCTTCCACCGCCACTGTACAATCAAGCAGGAGGAGTACCTGGTATAAAGAAACGATACGTACAAACACGGAAAAAGCGAATTCCAAGTCGTGGTGAAGTCACAAATAAACCCATACAATGAAGTATATGTGGTGAA